ATCAAGAGGGCTGAGTAGATTAACTAGAAGGAACTGAGTGTAGACTAAGTGGCCAACGTTTGTACACTGTGTGGTCGGGGTGAGACTCACAAGGCTCTTTACTTTGAGGTAGCAAATAAGTAAGGCAACTAAATGCTTGCAGTTTCCTTTTAATTATGATCAGTGCAGTGACTTAGATTTTCCTGGGGATCTAAAGATTGCATAATACATTTAGGTGATTACAGAGCTAGTCAAAACAGTTTAAAGATATTCACAGATACTGAATTTTTTATATAAATGATTAGATTTTGAATTGTAAGGTGATCATTTAAAAGGAAGAAGTGCATTGTTAGCCCATTGTGTCCTGGATCGATGAGGACCACCCATTCCTTTTAAATCCTTTATGCATCATTGCTAAGAGATTGCCCAGGGAACACCAAATCTCATTTATAATGGTTATTTGAATATTCTATGTAAATGCTAATCTTCTGAAGACTTAGAGAAATCATTGTAGATTAAAATAAGAAATAAAGCTTTGCATTTATAAGAAATTAATGATGGTTCTGAAAATGAGCAACTATTTAGTGCTGGGAGAAATAAATATAAATTGTAACATCTATCTGATGGAGGTTTGTTTAGATTGCTTCTGGTGATAAACCATCTATAATAATATAAATCAAGGCTGGTGTTTGCTATAAATTTGCAATGTTTAGCATAATTTTCGTTTGCACTTCATACTAAAGTGACACTAAGAAATATGAGATTAATAGTTAGTTATTAAGTGGAAATGACTTTCATAGCTGTAGTCATTTTTAGAAACGGTTATGTGTAATTCATTTAGGGAGCAGAGGAAATTAATTTGCAGCTGTGGAGAGATCCAGCTTATGACAACAAAGCAGGAAGTGCACACAGTAATAAACTTCAGAAACATGAGGGTGAATTCCTTTGTAAGCTCTCCTTTGGGTTGCCTGTCCTCTATGTGCTCTTTAGATCACCTTGCTATTATCTGCAGACTCTAGAATGCTCTACTATCAGCTTGAGGACAAGGAAGGCCAACGTCTGCTCTCCAGTTATGTCACAATATGAAGGAGCACAGGCTGAGGCATACCTAAGAGGATCGAGGGTCACAAGCAGCAGCAGCAGCATGCTGCCTTGTTATTAATTTTAATTAGTGTTTTCATTAGGAAGTGTCACTTTAAGTTCTTCTTTGAAAGAAAATGACACATTATCCACTTTCATCTGTTTCACTGTGTGGCAAATTAGTAACGATGTAAAAATTAGATGCTATAGATTGTTAATTCTTTGAAAAATTTATCCTCAGTTTATAAATGTGATAAAAATCTACACCTAATGTAAAGCTAAACGTGGATTATCTGTCACATATTGCTATGAACCCGTCCCATGCATTAAATGGTATGTACATCTGGATTACTGTGTCCCATTAAATGCAAAAGAGTCCAGTCATTTATCTGGGAAGAACCAAATGAACACCCTCTTTATACCGTAGTAGAACTAAGTTAGAAATAATAATATTTTAGTCTGGAGCCAAAGATCACATTTAAGAATTTAGAAGGTAGGTTTGAACTCTTTGTCAAAGTGTTATTTTAAGTATGTGTTTAGAGGTTCTACTTCATAAGATATCCATCAAAGCTAGGTGAAATCTTTTAAAACACTTATAACAACAACAACAACAACAACCACAACACAGGAACATTTGGAAACAATGTTAGGTCTCCTGGTAGACCCGAGAAGGGAGTTGTGGTGGGGCAGCACAGTGCAGTGGAGTGATGGGGCTCAGTGGGGATTCACTAGGGTGTGAGTGTGGATCTAGGCAGAGGTGGCTCTGAGTTAACTAAGGTGGAATGTGAGGAGAAGAATAATGTCTCAAAGCAAGCTTATAGCATGGCGTAAACTGTCCTTTCTGTCTCTTCCCTTCTCCAGGGACCTGCTAAGGTGGTTAGTTCCATGAGACTGACACTTCTATAAGGTAGCAAGGATGACAGATGGAGGGAAACTTCCAAATCAGGCAGCCATTCTGGCTTGCAAACTAGTTGTGCTAGTGTACAACACAGGGCTATTTGTTTACTTATCTAATCAATAACTTATGTCAACTTGTTGCCCTTGTTTCCATCATTACACATCATTTGTTAATTATAAAGTCACTTGTTAACTTATTTCAGCTCAGTTTAAAGCCTGTGTGTATTAGCCCATGAATGAATGAATAAAATACAACTTTAATTGGCCTTACATGTCAGCCTCAACATCTGGCTCCTCCTTTCTGCCATTAGAAACTGGAATCATAATTCCAATAGCAACCAGGACCCAAGAAGGACAATGGAAGGGTTTGTTGTCATCTGTGATTGAGACATTTCTTTTTCCTCTCACATGTTTTCCTAACAGGCCTGGCTTTTGTGTTGGACGAGGAAGGGAGGAGTAGCAAAGGATTCTGGGATTCTGTCAGGGTTAAAGAAGGTACTTTAGATTGCTTTGCTTGCTTTGGTCTGAAGTTGGTGATTTGTATTTTTGATGTCATTCATTTGAACCCAGAGAAGGGTAGTTAGAAATTAATACTGCCTAACTCTTGTACATGATGGAGGAAAATCTTTCTTTTACGAATTTAAGTCCAACTAGACAGCTGATGTGATTTCTAGAAACTCTTTCTGCCTCATTTGTGATTTGGCTTAAAATACTATGGAAGAAATTGTCCTTAGCCAATCTCTGTGAGGAATTAATAAGTCTCCCTAATTATTTTTGAGGGCAGTTTACCTACATTGTTGAGTAGTTTGGTGATGTGTCCTTTACTGGCTAGCCCTCATTATGTTTCTCAGTTCATCACTTCCTAGTCAGTACTTTATGAAAGATGATACATACCCAATGTCTTATTTTGTGGAATGCTTCTGAAACAATCCATTATGTGTACAGTTACAAAATAAATAACTTTCAAATGAGTGGATTGGTGGACAGGTAAAAGGAGATGTTGTTTATTGGAATTCAATGTGAACTTCTGTGTAATGTTATAACTGTTGATAACAAAATATCAGATCCTTGTGCTCATAAATATATAAATATATTTGTATTCATATATACATATGAATATATTTATATCTCTATAGAGATGGTTATATACTATATATGCTATACATATTATATACTTGTACATATATGTTCATATATATCATATATGTATAAATATATACATATATATGTATATATACAAAAGTATATTTGTGTTCCCTATTAGCAGATTTTTGTCTTCAAAGGCAGGGATTTTCTGTGTATTGGAGCTATGGTTGTCCTGGACTCATTTATGTAGACCAGGTTGACCTCGAACTCACAGAGATATGCCTACCTCTGCCTCCAAAGTGCTGGCAGTAAAGGCTTGTGTCACCATGCCTGCCTAGCAGATTCTTAAAAGCTGAGAATTTCTTTAGATTTGCTGCCCAATTCTTGATGATTTTAAGAATGTCTGTCTTAGGTATAATTTTATACTTCTTTTGTTACTTCCTCATTTATATTAAGCATTAAAATGTGCTATTCAAATGCATAAGTGAAGTTCAGAAGTTGGCAATGACAAATTTAAACAACAATCACCTCTTAGAAATGTATGTGGATGTGAGAAGTGAGCTGTGAGCTAAGGAAAGGAAACCGTGGTCAGCAGGAGTGGTGGCACTGAGTCATGTTTGGGTACACTTTTAGACATTTGTTTATCGGTATTAAATTTGCATCCCCAGGCAAGTTCACAATGTTTAGGAGCTGACTGTAGCAACTCAAATAGAATTCACTTTTTCTTTAGCTGGCAGTGAGTAGGATCTTAGTCATAAAATGGTCTGAGACTGGAAAGAAGGTAGACTGTAGCAGAATGTCAGCTTTGTGGAATCGGGAGCATCAGAGTCGTTGGACTAATCTTTCACCTTCTCAGTTTGTGTCAGCGCATGGATTTGTCAAAGGCCTTGAAGGCATGGACAGCATGAGCAGTTTGCCCAGCTTGCTACTATCATTAGTATTATTCCAAATGAAGACTACTTTGAGCTAGAAAATATGTCGATACCAAAAGAATCATTAAACTCACAAAAGCTTCTAAATGATATTGGTACTTTATGGAGATTATCAGTGTATTCTAGTCCTAAAGTCCTATGAGTCTGGACTAAGTTTCTTTAAGGTATATTCCACTTGTGGGATCCTACAGTGTGATGCTCTTCTTCATTGTCAACAGAATGTTTGACTCATACCCTTTCCTTCCCAGATTGCTTTATAACAAAAGCAGGAATCAAGCCTTGACAGAGAGGTTGACAATTATTTGTGTTTAAACAAACATCACATTTTATGTGAAATCAAGATAAACATACAGATGGAAAATACTGCTCAGAAGTGTGTTCCAGGAAAGATTGAAGTTCTTTGATGAACTGGCTTCATGAGTATTGAGAATCCTGATATTCTTTTCTTTCTAAAATTGGGCTAAAAAAAATTCAGAACTTAATATACAACCTAATGATCTTAACCATGTGGGAATGTAACAGCTTGCATATCTCGAAGATGTTCTTGATCTTCAAAATCTATTTCAGTTTTCTCTCTTCCTGTCCTCCAGTATCACAAATATTTTATCTCAATCGACACATGATAATTGTACACTGCTATGAAGCCTGAACTTTTCAAAAACATTGCCTGACTTTTTGCCTGTCACTTTTTAAAAAAGATTTATTTATTTTATGTATGTGTATTTTTAATTTTTTTATATATGAGTATGCTGTCTTCATGCACACCAAAACAGGGCATTGGATCCCATTACAGATGGTTGTGAGCCACCGTGTGGTGCTAGCAATTGAAGTCAGGACCACTAGAAGAGCAGCTAGTGTCCTTAACCACTGAGCCATCTCCCCAGATCTCGCCTGTTATTTTCTATATGTATTTCTCTAAGCCATTACAAACATTTTGTAAAAAATGGACAGAAAATCACCCATGTTTTGTACAAAAGAACTTGCTTACACCTTCTTGTGTAACTGCTCATTTCTCTTTTGGTGAAGGCCAAATGTTTGCAGAGAGGAGCAGCTGACCTTGGTAAGACTGTCACGCCCGTGCACCCAAGCTTTCATAGACACCATCCAGTTCTGGAAACAAGGCTGCTCAGGCCCTCGGTGGTGCATCGGATATGAAAGACGGTAAGGTGATGTCCTAACTCCTGTAATTGTTAAAACCCCAAACCAGAAGCCTCATCTGTTCCTAAATACTTTATCCCATGAACTGTAGGAAATAGTTGGATAATTAAGTCAAGGAGCCAAGGAGCACTTACCAAGAAGATTTACAGTTACACAGTTTCTTTCATCAGTGGGTTGGGTGCTTATTTTATGTTAAACCTCGACTATGTGTGAACTATCTTTGATTTGATGATACCAATTTTACCTCTGGATATGATGTAGCATTGAAAGCTAAAGATCAGAGAACCAGCAGAAACAAGGGATATTGTGTTGGTTTGCTAAATTTGGCTCTGCTTGATCCAGGGTGTCTGCAGCTGTGAACCAACATCTGACCTGCTCTTGTCATGGAGAAACACTTTGATACCACAGGTTCTTAACTTTACTACAACCTTTGAATGCGGATCAACACAGCAGGCTGTGAGGAGGGAGAACAGCAAGTGTCCACAATGCTTTCTAAGAGTCCAGGCTTCAGGGGGACCTTATTTTGTTCAAAGATTTAAAATAGTTTCACAAATCATATAAGAACCTTTTGATACTAATGGGTGCTAATGGATTTTATGTAAATCAATCAAAAGGATCTAAATTTATGATAAATCTTAATAGGAAAGCGTGGTTTAATACTATTCTCAGCAGTGAAATGTTAGGGTGTTTTTAATTATCTAGCCTTTATATTGTACAAGCATGGGAACAGTTTTAATACAGACTAAATACTTTATAAGTATAAATATGTATATGTGTATGTATATGTGAATGTGTATTTATCCTTGAGATGAATACTCTTTTGGGGGTGTTGTTTTAAATTGAGAATATTTAATTGACAGTTAAGTCAGAAAAATTTCCCTATTTATTACTTGCTTTATGGCCCTAAGTTAAATTCATATATTTCTCTGAGCTTTAGTGTGTAAAGCTGTAAAAATAACGGCATGCATAGATAGCATGAGGAGCGCTGATTACATATTTTACACGTGCAACATAACTTTGATACCCTGAAGATACTCAAGATGTGTGTTAATACAAACAAGTAGCAATGAATTTATTATAAAATTAGGAAGATGCTTATAGTATATATAATTTTTATTTATTTTAAGAGTATGTATGTGTGCATGCATGTGTCTGTGTGTGAGTTTGTGTGTGTGTGTGTGTGTGTGTGTGTGTATGTGTGCCTGCCTGTGTGCCATAGCACACATGCAGTAGTCAGTGAACAGCCCTAGGTGTTGGTTTTCACTTTCAAGGTTGTTTGAGGCCAGGTCACTTTTGTCACTGTGACTTACCTGACCAGTGATACTCTAGGAGTTCTCCTGCTTCTGCCTCCTATCAGCTCTCTAGAAGTGCTGGGATTATAAATGTGTTTCAGCTTTCATGTATATTCAAGGGATTGAACGAAGGTCACTAGTTTGGAGGAGAAGCCCTTTACCAAGTACGACGTTTCTCTAGCCCTAGAAATTGTTTTTTTAAAAATGGTTTTTCATTTAACTTTTTTGTATTACCTCAATGTGGTTTAATCATTGTAAATATTGATCTGAACCAAAGAGAATCCTCGGCCTTGTAGCTGCCTAGAATTGGGGGAAAACAAACATGAATGTGTAATACCGGCTTCATCTGTTTATCGTAGAGAGCTTACTAGTTTAACAATTCTGTTTGTGGCACTGATTGGGAACGTAGCAATGTAGGAAAATAATTGGTGTTCTGCCAAACATCCCCTTTTTTTGTTAGTATATACATCTAGTCATATCCTAATTGGAAAGATGTACACAAAAAATACTAGGCAATATTGCAAAATGTTGAATAATTAAATGCCATAAGCAATACTGGAGCCAATAAACTCTGTAGCAGTAAAGAGAGTTGACATGGAGGGGGAGACTTTATAGGAAGTGGAAACAGAGACTGGTTTTGAATAATGAAGGATTTGAGCTAGGACACAGGTCAATGCACATGAATGAGAAAGAGGAGCTAGAACTTTGAGGGTTAAAGCATCCATGGAGCTTTGATTTGATAGGGGATCAGAAAGCTTTGAGGTGTCTGGTGCCATGGTCAGCAGACAATTCAACACTATGGTAAATGAAATCAGCATGTTTAGAGGTGTCTGGTGCCACAGTCAGCAGACACTTCAACACTAGCTAAATGTCCTATTCCCTTCTCAGGAAAGGTCTTTGAACTCCTCTGTTACTGTAATTGCTACATCTCAAGTGAAAATTTGACATTGCATTTATTTTTTTTAATAAAGATTTTATTTTTAAGCGTGTGTGTGTGTGTGTGTGTGTGTGTGTGTGTGTGTGTGTACACTGTCTGCAGAGGACAGAACAGTGTCAGATCCCCTGAAGCTGGAGCTACAGGTGGTTGTAAGCTGCTACAAATGGGCACTGGTAACTTGAATCTTCTGCAAGGACTTTGAGCCATCTCTGCAGCCCACATTCAAACTTTTTCCTATCATGAACTGTGCTCATTCTGGGGGGGGGGCACAAACACTTTCATTGGTTGATTCCTTGTATTCTCCCTACCCTAACTAAGGAAAATCACCCTGTTTTGGACTTTAACTCTGGTTGAGAATGCAAGCTATAGTGGGACCAGTGTATAATGAACCTTTGATGTTAACCTGAAATGAATACATCTTCTTATTTCAGGATTTCAGTATTCTTCTTTTTTTGGGGGGAGGGGGTGCAGCGAACATTTATTGATGGTATTTAAGAGAATAGGGAGGGCTCCCTAGGCCACTCCTGTTATTATGGGGGTCTGGGATGGAAATTGTGAGAGAGATGCTTAGTGTTGGGGACAGGGACTCCTCTCTCAGTATTCTTGCTGGGGTGGATGGTCCAGGACTTCTTCTCCTTTGAGGCCATGTAGGCCATGAGGTCCAGTTGCTGTAGTCATATTCACTGTCATACCAGGAAATGAGCTTTACAAAGTTGTCATTGAGAGCAATGCCAGCCCTAGCATCAAAGGTGGAAGAGTGAGAGTTGTTGTTGAAGTCGCAAGAGACAACTTGGTCCTCAGTGTAGCCCAGGATGCTCTTCAGTGGGCCCTTAGATGCCTGCTTCACTGCATTCTTTTCATCATACTTGGAAAGGTTTCTCCAGGTGGCATGTCAGATCCACAATGGATTGGGGGTAGGAACACGGAAGGCCAGGTCAGTGAGCTTCCTGTTCAGCTTTGGGATGACCTGGCCCACAGCCTTGGCAGCACCAGTGGATGCAGGGATGATTTCTGGGCAGCCCCACAGCCATCACGCCACAGCTTTCCAGAGGGCCATCCACAGTCTTCTTGAGTGACAGTGATGACATGGCCCGTGGTCATGAGCCCTTCTACAATTTTGGATTTCATTCTTGATAACTTGAGAGGTTTTCAGGATAGACTATGCTATCTGGATATCAGGATAAACTACACATAGGGTTCTTCTTAATCTTCCTCAACCTATGCCTACAATGATATTTATTACATGTGTGATGTGGAGTCATGAACTATATACAAAGTATATATCTATAGCTATCCATCTTCTCATTCATCTACCTCCCAATGTATGTGGCAGAATTTGAATTGGAGGGAGGCATTTTTATAATTGCAAAATGATGAGTTTGCCATCAGAGGAATGATACATTTTCCTGATTGCTATCCTGTGCTCTGTAGGATTCGCTACTACATCATCTACAGACATGTGTATGCCATAGAGCACCAGACAGTCTTCCAGTGCTGCCCTGGCTGGAGCCGATGGGATGATGAACCAGGCTGCTTCTCCTGTAAGTTGTAATTCTTCCTGCCAAGTTCTCTGTTACAAAAAGGAAATGCTGTTGCTTCAACTACATGCTGCCTATCACATTTCAGTATCTTTAGAAGCACTGCAAATTCAGAGCATTACTCTCACCAATGGCTCTCAACCTTCCTGATGCTGTGGTCCTTTGATATAGTTCCTCATTTTGTGGTGACCCCCAACCATAAAATTATTTTTGTTGCTACTTCATAACTGTAATTTTGCTACCGTTATGAACCACAATGTAAATATCTGTATTTTCTGGTGATCTTAGGCAACCCCTGTGAGGAGTCATGGCCCACAGGTTGAGAACCACTGCTCTACACTAATGACTCACACGTTTCATGGGAAAATATACATACAAAGCCTTTCTGTTAAGCATTTTAATGATGGGTTGCAGCTCAGGACCCATGAAAGCTACCGTGCATTCTGTCACTATAAAGGACAGTTGCTTTAAAGCCAGAAAGGCTTTCCTTGATATCTGTCCCACTTGCCTGTTAGCCCTTTCCAGTATCATCAAATTTGTAATCCATAGTTGGTTCAAAAGTCCGGAGGGAAATCACCGTACTAAATCCAAATGGGATTTCTCAACTTGGGCTTGTCGTGATTAATTGCAGAACTCTGGAGGCAGTTTACTTTTCAAGATGAGGTTTTCCACTGTTTACAAACCTCTGGTGAAGGTATTTCTGAACCTTCAGAATGTTGGGTTTGGCAGCTCTCAGGAGTAAAGCCAGTAGCATTATATGGCTCCCCAGGCTGTGAGCGGTGGTGTGTTTCATGAGGCATTTTGTGCTGATGGTGATTGCCAAGTCCTCTAGACTGCTCTGTGGGCCTAGGATTACCATAGCACAGTTCATCTCTCTTGCCTCTGTGTGCTGTAGAGAGTGCCAGGATCCACTCTCCTTTCTCTATGAGCTTTCTGCTCTTAAAAGACAATGGAGAAGTTTTGTTGAATGTGGGCATAGGGTTGAGTGCTATGGCAAGAATATGTTTAAACTGAGGCCACTGGGGCTGGCTGGTTTAACATCAGTGAAAAGATCTGCCCACAATACCATCCTAAGTATGTCACAAAGACTAGAAAATTGACGACTTTGCAATAAAGTTTTTATATTTATTGTTTAACAACTGTTCAAGTTCTTTGCCTCTGGTTAGATATCAGCATTTTGTTTGGATTTTTTATTTTGTGTTAAAGATCATTTTGATCACAGTCACCTTATCGTGCAACTTCTTTATTCCAATACTTCACTCACAATGTGAATACAAATAGTCTGGTCTCTTGTTAAAAGGTAGATTCATATTAATTCGGTCTAGAGCAGTTCTCAGAATCAACATTTATGCAAAAGCTTCAGGAATGTTCCTACAGATAATTCTGCAAGGCTTCAGTCAGCCATTGTCTTGTAATGGCAATTTTCTATAACGATTTTATATATGATGTCTTCTGAAGAGGCCAGTGGAAATTTCTAAATCATGTTATATTAACTGTCCAGTGTGTACCTATTCTGATGGTTTCCTTTCTTTCTCCCAACTATACCTGTCCTTCTTTTGCCCATTCCTTTTAGCTGTCTCTTCCTTGGGAACTCATTTCAGTGGAAGGGAGTGCTCAGATGGGGATGCTCAGCAGTGCCTTTGTTCACAAGGATTTCATGGACCTCACTGTCAATATGGTAAGTCACCAACAGGGCCATTCTGTTGGAGTTTAACACCATCTGCCAGTTGTGTCCTGGCAGGTTAACTCTCTGGGAATTAGTGACCATAGAAAATGAGTGACCAAGCAGAAATCCAGACTCACAGTGTAATCAGCATCATAAAATATGCTTGTGGTTTAATTGTAAATCTTCACTGTAAGAATTCAAAAGGTCATTGTAAGTAGAAGATGCTATACTTTGTAAAGAAGTTGTTGGATGCTAAATCTCTCATGGAAGAAAGCTTGAAAATTGCTACTGTGGTATGGTGTTCTGTGAGATCCCTGGATTCCATAATGAGCAAAATACAATCAGTGTGAAGTTTATGTTAGGTAATACTGACTAATCTTATCCTGTTATCTTAAAAAAAAATTACAAAACCTGGAAGTCATAAGACTTGGATGGTTTGCAAAACTTCAACACTTGTTAATCTACTTTTCAAGACTGGAGGCTTGACTGTTAATTTGGACATGCACATATAGGATGTTTCTTGTCTGGGAAGTTTCCAGATGACCAAGGATCTAGCCTCTACTACAGAATGAAGTCTCTCTCTCTCTCTCTCTCTCTCTCTCTCTCTCTCT